GCAGAGGGGATGGAAACACCTCCTGGCATGTATGCAGTTTGCAGGGCTGGTGATGCTGCTGCAGCAAGGGGATATCCCTCAGGGGCTCAGGGAGGGTGGCTTTGCTCACGCTGATACCCTCCAAGGGTCATCCTGAAAGCCCCCGCAGAAATCTCAGGGGTTGGGAGAGGATGGGGAGGACAATGCACATGCAAGAGATTTCAACTTACCGGCCGCCCAGGGATGCCCATCGCGCCTTTGTCTCCCTGGCAATTAAGGGAAAACCAGAGGCAATTGGAAAGTGGCGAAAAGCAAGGCGATAAAACAGCACAAACGAGCTGCGCCGCAGACGCGGCTTTGCGCTACGGGGCAAGTGTCCAGGGATTTTTGAAAGAGGGAGAGGGCACGTTAGAGAGAGGGGAAAGTGTGTTTGCGTGTGCCCCAACCTGCCTTTAAGAACATGTGTAAGCCACCTGTTTGCTTGTGCGTATGACAAACCAGCACATCTCACAACGGAAATGGCACCTGGCGATCTAGGCAGCGAAAGAAGGGCGAGAGTTTTCAGCCTAAAAAAGTAGAATCCCAATTTCCAACACTTCGTAAAATCTGGGTCCTGGGAACTGGCTTCCTACAGTAGCCAACTGTCACGTTTTTCTCCTTCTTTACCAAAGTCATCTGGGTGTTAGCTATTTATTTATAGAGTTATCACTTTAAAACAGGATTCTCTTAGACTCGAAAATACAGTCCTGTCCAGAAGCAAGAGAAAAATGTGGGAAAACAAGCTGACACAGGAAAAAGCACGTCTGGAAGAAGACGTATGAGCAGCTGTGTTCAGTGTCCTCTACCCCTTCGAGATATTTCCCAGTGCGTTGTCAGGGTGCGAACGACCCTAAGAGGGGTTTGGGGAATGACTTGGGGTCAGGCGACACCATACAGAGCCTCGTAAACACGTGAATGCAAGAGCAGTGGCAATTCAGCTGCTTACCTACAAGGCAGTTTTCTGCCTCTTACAGTTAAATTTAACTATGTAATTTAGGGGGAAAAAAAAAAAAAATCAACCCCTCTGCATTCCTGGTCACCAAAACTGACGGCTGTGCAGATTTGGAAGATAGCAGCTGACTGCTAAAGGACCTTGATGATTATGGCTTCAGTGGTCACGTAGCTTTTGCTCTATATTTTGAAAAAAATGACGTGATAAATAATCTCTCAGTTCTGTTTCCAGCTATGTTTGGGGTTTCCATATGTAAAAGAGTGTTGCCGCCTGCGGCTGCCTGTGCCTGTAGACACAAACCTGGTTTTCTGGTTCCTGCAGCTGGAGACGCCGGCCCCGTCGGTGCCACCTCTTGGTGCCTCCCCCCACGTTCAGACCCAATACGCACGAACACGGTCTGAAATCTCTGGAAGGGGAATGCCCTTGACTCTAGTTTTGCCGGCTGTACGCAGAGGCTCCTTTGGCTGTGCATCCCAAACTCAGACGTCCTTGCCTGGTGTCAAACCATTACCTGGTGAAAGCGTAGCCGCTTCCCTCTGCAGAGCTGGGGTGGGGGCGTCCAGTATCAGGGCATTCCTTTCCACACAGCGCATGTTTTGGCAATTGAAAAGCAATACATGCTGTGCAAAAGCATCTCTTGCAGATGGACGAAACGCGGAAGAGCTGCTTGATTTAAAATTTTGTAGATGATATATTATGGGAAACTGCTTTCTTCTAGGGTTTTGGGCGGGTTCTCAGTCCTGCTAATATTTGCGTATCTCTGCGTGCCGGCAGCAAGCAAAATTCACCGTGTCAGCGTCTTGCCCTGGGATTACTTTGTGGCTGCTGGAGAACATAATGCTGAGTTTTCCTGTGCTTTTAGTCCCTTAAATGCTGCTTTCCTCCAAGCTGAGCTCCCTCATGGTTTGAGGTAAAAGCTAATTTTATGTCTCCTGGCTCTGCTGTGGCTGGTGCCCGAGCAGGAAGAGCCCAAGGTCGGGGCTGAGCTGCGTCTGGTCTCCAGCGAGTACCTGACGTCGGAGTGGTACGTGACGGCACCGTGTCTGGTATGTGCGCAGCGTTACAGCCCTCCCAGCAATAACAGCAAAGGGGGGAGCTCCCGGTAGGACAGCAAATAAATGCCAGATGTTTATAAGGAAAGGTTGTCTGTGACAGGGAGTCGGGGAAGAGCACTCTCGGGTGGATGATACCACGTAGGCTGGTTACAACAAAGTCATGCAAAGCTGCCTCCAGGGTCCCACGTCGGAGCTAGAGGAGCAGGAAAGGCAGCAAGCAGCCTCTGTCCGGGGTCAGGGGAGAGCCAGCAGCACAGTCTGTGTTTCGTTCATTAGGAAACTGCCCATTATGGCTGCTGGCAGTCTCTCGGTGAGCAGCAGTCCTGGGAGCCAGCACCAGGAAAACACGCAGCTGTAACTCCAAAACCCACGCTCCTTCCTTGCTCGTGACTATCTATCCCAGATGCAGATACTGGTATAACAGACTTCTGCATTTGTCCCAGAGCGACTTAGGCCTTTGAAAACCCCACTGCAATTAGCGACCCCCATCAGCAAGAATGCCGCACGCTGCACCTCTTCAACCAGACCCTCAAGGTGACAAAGGCATCTCCAGAAGCAGCCCGTTTCCCACAAGCAGGAGGGTTCATAGGGATTACATTGCCTTTAAGTCTGGTCCTGCAAAGCTCCTGTGGTCCCTAATCTGTTAGGAGCCATGTCCTGTTTGCAATACGCTATTCCACATCAGGTTTGCTACGCGAGCTCACTGCTGTCACTCAGCTCACCCACCCCGGAGGCCCGCTGATGAAAGTTCTGCCAGACAGAGAGCACATGAGAACAAAAAAGAAAGAACAACGTATTTACCTGGAGCCCTGGTCTCCCTGTAGGGCCCTGAAACAAAATACACAGAAAAGACGATAGTGAGCTTCAAACTCGGAAAGGAGGGCTTGATAAAGAGACGAAATCACATGCAAGGGTTTAGGAAACAGAACGGTTAAAAATCTCTCCCCAGCTCCTTGACCATCAGCCCTGATTTCTTCGGTTTCCTAATCTGCTGGTTGTGAAGTTTCCTCTCCTTTCGGCATGGCTCTACCCACAGCTCGCCGCACGGGCTCCGAAGGTATCTGCAAGTCCACGGAGAATGAGCTAATTACAGAGATCTGCCTTTCTTCCTTAAATTCCATCTGCTAAATATTATTTTCTCATGTATGGAATTGCTGCAGTTGCCACAGAAATGTTGCATGTTCAGAAATGGGAGAGAAAACGTCCGCGAGATGATCTTTCCCTTCGGATGTGGTCCAGACGGCAAAAGAGTCCGGGAACCTCAGGACTATTGCACGATTTCATCATTTCCTTCCTTCCTTTGCCCCTTTTAGTCCCAATCTCACCGAATTTCTTACATGACTGCGGGTTGCCCTCGCCTTCACCAAAAACTTCAAGGGTAACGGTGGGAGTACGTGTTGTGCAAGAGGAGAGCATCAAGGCCCTTTTTGCCGCTGGGGTGTTGCTCATCCATTTCCCTGGCTTTCCTCCTGGTCGATCTAGATTACAAGCGGAGCTCAGCGCGTTTCTGATACGTATTCCTGCCCATCCCCACACTCAAGCCAACACCAGCGCCAAGGGCTCAGCCCTGCTGCCAAGCACGTTGTGTTTCACAAGCTGGGAAAGAAACCCGGGAAAGAGATGTGGGGTGGTCAGCATTTTGGGGTCGCTATCCAGAACGATGCGTATGACAACAAGCCAGGCAGAAGCCCAGGTCTGTTGCTCATAAGCTGGAGTTTCCATGCGGTTTTAATCACGAGAAATATGGGGGGAGGGGGGTGTGTGTGGGGAAATATTTCCTACAGCGGCACGGAGGACTCTTCAGCAGTGAACCTTTGCTTACAGTGGCTGAGCCGGTCTCGCTCACCAGCCGATCAGAAACCCCAGAGGTCCTGAATGAGATGAGGATGCTGTTAGCCCAAGACAAATTCCACTTTGGCGAACGACGCTCGGTCTGCCTGACTTCCTCTCATTATTTCCATTGGCTGTAGCGTTTCTCGTGGCCCGTCCTGAAAGTCTGTGTGCGGAGACCGGTTCAGGGGTCGCAATAAAGCCGCGAGACGGTAGCACGTACTGTCAGCACTGCGCTGGTGGTCCCACGTGTTTCTGCCAGGCTTCAATCTTTCATTACGATATTAAGTTTCTGACCCTTATTGCTGCAGAGAAATCCCGGAGTGTGCACCTTCCTCCCCCTGCAAAGGTTCAGACTGCTCTCCGGGAACGTCAATCTACTGATTTCCCTCTAGTTTCTCAAGGAAATAATAGCAATGCCAACACCACTACCAATTTTGTGCCCACCCCATCCCTTTAGCGCCAGTTTATGCTTGCCCAGGGTGGAGTGGCAGGGACAGCCCCGGATAGACCCCACTTGCAGCCCCCTCCAGCACAGTGTTTTCCTCCCACTAACCCAAAGTTGATGCTGAAATACGTCCGCTTCAGCAGGCAGCCCTGAAAGCCCCTGGGATAAGCTATCGCCGAAGGTTTGCGTGGATCAGGGCTTCCAGCTGTAAAACGCTTTCAGACCTTTTGGCCTGGAAGGTGCAACTTTTTTGGAAGATTGTTGTCATTAAATCGGGCTGCGCTCGTATATCTGTGGGAGTTCAGTCTATAGCATTTCGACTTGATGAAAGGGGAAAATAGGTTGTGCAGCGACCACTTCTCCTCAGAACATCATCTGCAAACTGTTTAAGACATTTTTGCGTGAACAGACAAAAGATGACTACCGTATGTTTAACTTCTCATGTTCCTTCACAGAAACCCGTATAGTTACTCTATTGTACACGAATATAAACCATTTCCTCTGGAAGGACCGTGCTAGAGACAATATAGCGTTTCTTTACAATCCTGAGAGATGTCGATACACGGCCTCATTCCTTGCGTTGCTTCTTCTGGTTCACTGTGGGTCTCTTAATAGCTGTAAGAAAACTTCTGCAATAACCTAGCTATTTTTCTGAAGCCTAAATCATCTGCGCTGAGGTTTTGCATTAGCTAACATTTGAAAAGGAAGCTGTCAACACAATTTTTCCTCTGAAATTGATAGTTGCGCAGCTATACTTGAAGGCCCGACAGCTCAGCAAGCCCGGGTGAGTAGCAGGGAGCAAATCCCTATAGCTCAGCTCCCGCCATGTGGTTGCGATCTACCCTTTTTTCGCAAACACGTCTTGTTCGGCGCGTGGCATCCAATGCACGCGACGCTCATACAGCCGATTCCCCCGGGGTACATGGG